CTTGGATTATGGATCGGCTTCATAGTAACAACACTTGGTCAGCACCTCATAAGGAACATTCATGCCATGTTTGGTTCCATTCCATTCAGTGGTTCTCTAAAAGAAGAAATTTGTATGTATTTCCCATAGGGTCCCATGTTAAATTAAGTCCCCTGCTGGCGGCCATCTTGGATTATGGATCAGCTTCAAAGTAACAACACTCGGTCAGCACCTCATAAGAAACATTCATGTCATGTTTGGTTTCATTCCATTCAGTGGTTCTCTAAAAGAAGACATTTGTATGTATTTCCCATAGGGTCCTATGTTAAACTAAGTCCCCTGCTGTCGGCCATCTTGGATTATGGATCGGCTTCATAGTAACAACACTTGGTCAGCACCTCATAAGGAACATTCATGCCATGTTTGGTTTCATTCCATTCAGTGGTTCTCTAAAAGAAGACATTTGTATGTATTTCCCATAGGGTCCCATGTTAAACTAAGTCCCCTGCTGGCGGCCATCTTGAATAATGGATCAGCTTCAAAGTAACAACACTTGGTCAGCACCTCATAAGGAACATTCATGCCATGTTTGGTTTCATTGCATTCAGTGGTTCTCTAAAAGAAGACATTTGTATGTATTTCCCATAGGGTCCTATGTTAAACTAAGTCCCCCGCTGGCGGCCATCTTGAATAATGGATCAGCTTCAAAGTAACAACACTTGGTCAGCACCTCATAAGGAACATTCATGCCATGTTTGGTTTCATTGCATTCAGTGGTTCTCTAAAAGAAGACATTTGTATGTATTTCCAATAGGGTCCTATGTTAAACTAAGTCCCCCCCTGGTGGCCATCTTGGATGATGGATCAGCTTCAAAGTAACAACACTTGGTCAGCACCTCATAAGAAACATTCATGTCATGTTTGGTTTCATTCCATTCAGTGGTTCTCTAAAAGAAGACATTTGTATGTATTTCCCATAGGGTCCTTAATAATAATGTTAAACTAAGTCCCCTGCTGGCGGCCATCTTGGATTATGGATCGGCTTCATAGTAACAACACTTGGTCAGCACCTCATAAGGAACATTCATGCCATGTTTGGTTTCATTCCATTCAGTGGTTCTCTAAAAGAAGACATTTGTATGTATTTCCCATAGGGTCCCATGTTAAACTAAGTCCCCTGCTGGCGGCCATCTTGAATAATGGATCAGCTTCAAAGTAACAACACTTGGTCAGCACCTCATAAGGAACATTCATGCCATGTTTGGTTTCATTGCATTCAGTGGTTCTCTAAAAGAAGACATTTGTATGTATTTCCAATAGGGTCCTATGTTAAACTAAGTCCCCCCCTGGTGGCCATCTTGGATGATGGATCAGCTTCAAAGTAACAACACTTGGTCAGCACCTCATAAGAAACATTCATGTCATGTTTGGTTTCATTCCATTCAGTGGTTCTCTAAAAGAAGACATTTGTATGTATTTCCCATAGGGTCCTTAATAATAATGTTAAACTAAGTCCCCTGCTGGCGGCCATCTTGGATTATGGATCGGCTTCATAGTAACAACACTTGGTCAGCACCTCATAAGGAACATTCATGCCATGTTTGGTTTCATTCCATTCAGTGGTTCTCTAAAAGAAGACATTTGTATGTATTTCCCATAGGGTCCTTAATAATAATGTTAAACTAAGTCCCCTGCTGGCGGCCATCTTGGATTATGGATCGGCTTCATAGTAACAACACTTGGTCAGCACCTCATAAGGAACATTCATGCCATGTTTGGTTCCATTCCATTCAGTGGTTCTCTAAAAGAAGAAATTTGTATGTATTTCCCATAGGGTCCCATGTTAAATTAAGTCCCCTGCTGGCGGCCATCTTGGATTATGGATCAGCTTCAAAGTAACAACACTCGGTCAGCACCTCATAAGAAACATTCATGTCATGTTTGGTTTCATTCCATTCAGTGGTTCTCTAAAAGAAGACATTTGTATGTATTTCCCATAGGGTCCTATGTTAAACTAAGTCCCCTGCTGTCGGCCATCTTGGATTATGGATCGGCTTCATAGTAACAACACTTGGTCAGCACCTCATAAGGAACATTCATGCCATGTTTGGTTTCATTCCATTCAGTGGTTCTCTAAAAGAAGACATTTGTATGTATTTCCCATAGGGTCCCATGTTAAACTAAGTCCCCTGCTGGCGGCCATCTTGGATTATGGATCGGCTTCAAAGTAACAACACTCGGTCAGCTCCTCATAAGGAACATTCATGCCATGTTTGATTTCATTCCATTCAGTGGTTCTCTAAAAGAAGACATTTGTATGTATTTCCCATAGGGTCCTATGTTAAACTAAGTCCCCCGCTGGCGGCCATCTTGAATAATGGATCAGCTTCAAAGTAACAACACTTGGTCAGCACCTCATAAGGAACATTCATGCCATGTTTGGTTTCATTGCATTCAGTGGTTCTCTAAAAGAAGACATTTGTATGTATTTCCAATAGGGTCCTATGTTAAACTAAGTCCCCCCCTGGTGGCCATCTTGGATGATGGATCAGCTTCAAAGTAACAACACTTGGTCAGCACCTCATAAGAAACATTCATGTCATGTTTGGTTTCATTCCATTCAGTGGTTCTCTAAAAGAAGACATTTGTATGTATTTCCCATAGGGTCCTTAATAATAATGTTAAACTAAGTCCCCTGCTGGCGGCCATCTTGGATTATGGATCGGCTTCATAGTAACAACACTTGGTCAGCACCTCATAAGGAACATTCATGCCATGTTTGGTTTCATTCCATTCAGTGGTTCTCTAAAAGAAGACATTTGTATGTATTTCCCATAGGGTCCCATGTTAAACTAAGTCCCCTGCTGGCGGCCATCTTGAATAATGGATCAGCTTCAAAGTAACAACACTTGGTCAGCACCTCATAAGGAACATTCATGCCATGTTTGGTTTCATTGCATTCAGTGGTTCTCTAAAAGAAGACATTTGTATGTATTTCCAATAGGGTCCTATGTTAAACTAAGTCCCCCCCTGGTGGCCATCTTGGATGATGGATCAGCTTCAAAGTAACAACACTTGGTCAGCACCTCATAAGAAACATTCATGTCATGTTTGGTTTCATTCCATTCAGTGGTTCTCTAAAAGAAGACATTTGTATGTATTTCCCATAGGGTCCTTAATAATAATGTTAAACTAAGTCCCCTGCTGGCGGCCATCTTGGATTATGGATCGGCTTCATAGTAACAACACTTGGTCAGCACCTCATAAGGAACATTCATGCCATGTTTGGTTTCATTCCATTCAGTGGTTCTCTAAAAGAAGACATTTGTATGTATTTCCCATAGGGTCCCATGTTAAACTAAGTCCCCTGCTGGCGGCCATCTTGGATTATGGATCGGCTTCAAAGTAACAACACTCGGTCAGCACCTCATAAGAAACATTCATGTCATGTTTGGTTTCATTCCATTCAGTGGTTCTCTAAAAGAAGACATTTGTATGTATTTCCCATAGGGTCCTATGTTAAACTAAGTCCCCCGCTGGCAGCCATCTTGGATAATGGATCAGCTTCAAAGTAACAACACTTGGTCAGCACCTCATAAGGAACATTCATGCCATGTTTGGTTTCATTCCATTCAATGGTTCTCTAAAAGAAGACATTTGTATGTATTTCCCATAGGGTCCTATGTTAAACTAAGCCCCCGCTGGCGGCCATCTTGGATTATGGATCCGCTACAAAGTAACAACACTTGGTCAGCACCTCATAAGGAACATTCATGCCATGTTTGGTTTCATTCCATTCAGTGGTTCTCGAGAAGAAGTTCAAAATGTGAAAAGTTAACAACGACGCCGGACGACAGACGCCAAGTGATGAGAAAAGCTCATTTGGCCCTTCTGGCCAGGTGAGCTAAAAAAGAAGATGTGGTATGATTGCCAATGAGACAACTCTCCACAATTGACCAAATGACACAGAAATTAACTATAGATCACTGTACGGCCTTCAACAATGAGCAAAGCCCATACCGCATAGTCAGCTATAAAAGGCCCCGAAATGACAAATGTAAAACAATTCAAACGAGAAAACCAACAGCCTAATTTATGTACAAAATAATGAACGAAAAAACAAATATGAAACACAGCAACAAACGACAACCACTGAATTACAGGTTCCTGACTTGGGACAGGCATATACAGAATGTGGTGGTGTTAAACTTGTTTGAAGGCGCCAACCCTCCCCCTAACCTGGGACAGTGGTCATGGTGGTGTAACGGTACAACATAAGAACAAACAATAAAAATCAGTTGAAAAAGGCTTAAGTCATCAGATGGATACAAATAGAAATACATCCAACAAAAACACAAAGTGGACATGGACGGGTCCTTGTACATCCCAACAACAAAAAGACACTTAGCACAGATCTGAGAGTACTTGCAGTTACTGACAGCTAGTTCAAAGCCAATAAAAACTAATAAAAAAAATCATGTATCCTAAGACTAAATTATCAATCAGTACACATCCAATGGATTTAGTGTAAAGACGTCATAAACAATCAGAGAAAAACATGACTTTGTGCAATGCCAAGGTTTTAAGTAATTTGTGGTAATGAAATCCCTGACTTTTTGAAATTGATTTACATCTTTTTTATTAATATTGTATTTATATTGTGTCATAGATCAAATTTATTCGTTCAGTTTATGTTTACTTGTTTTTGTTTGTATGTATTTTTGATCGAGTTAAGCCATTTCAATTGATATTTTATAGTGTGTCTTTTTATGTTGTAATGTTATACTACTGTTTCAGGTTAGGGTGAAGGTTGGCGCCTGTTAAAATGTTTAAACGCGCTGCATTTGTATGCACCTCTCCAAAGTCAGGAGCCTGTTGTTCAGTGGTTATTGTTTGTTGATGTGGTTCATAAGTGTTTCTCAATTCTCGTTTTTTTTATAGATTAGACCGTTGGTTTTCCTGTTTGAATTGTTTCACTCTAGTCATTTTGGGGCCCTTTATAGCTTGCTGTTCAGTGTGAGCCAAGGCTCCGTGTTGAAAGTACTTTACCTATAATTGTTTACTTTTTACACATTGTGACTTGGATGGAGAGTCGTCTCATTGGCACTCATACCACATCTTCTTATTTATATTTCAAAGTTCTAACAAAATGCTGCAAAAACAACCTTTTCTGGTTAATTTTTGGAGACATAGATCTTAGTTCCAAACCTTTATTTATTGGTCCCATATCCTTACAAGGATAATTGATAATCTTCATTAGAAAAATTTTTATTTGGTAATTTCTTCTGTTTCTAAAGATGAAAACATAAAACAGGAAACAGGAACATTATTTGATTAAATATGAAATTGCAATTAAATTATTTAAACAAAGTTTTTATGCAAATTAAAGGACCCGTTATTGTCAACTCACATTTAGCTCATTTTACTCTCTGAAAAAAATCTGATCTTTCTAATGAACAGCAATAAATGCAATTGTCTGCAATAGCTCTATGTCAAGGGTTTTTTTCACACCGTATCTAAATATAATTTTAAATTATTCAACTACTTGACCAATCTTGCCACCAACGATTTCGATCACTTTATGCTCTAAGAGTAGGATTACATTTATGAATTAGGTATGTGTTAATGTGAATTCATTTTATGTGCATCTGACAATGTTTCATTTGACCTTTGCGGCAGCCTGAGATTTCGAGTTCTATGTCCTTTGAAATAAATCAAATTCATGTTTTGCAACAGGCAAGACATTTTAGTTTGTCAACTCTTGTGTACCATTCTAGATATGTACTGAAATATTTCTTTGTATTTTCAGGACATTTGCTGAAGAATTTCAGTTCACCACAGTATATACCTGCATGTACAGTGGTTAGAGCCAGTGGTATAAAGAGACCAGGAAAGGGACCAGTAGTAAATAAACCAGATTTTATAAGACCTGCTCATGGTAGAAAGGTGAAAAGATTAGATGGGCAGTTTGTACATAGAGGAGATGTGTTAGTTACACAAAATGGATTAAATTACTATCCTGGTGAAAATGTAGGTAGAAACATTATAATTAACCTTGGTATTAAGTATTAGTTTTCTTACAGATTCCTTTTTATGATTTCCTTAAAATCCAATTTCCCAACCCAAAGTTTTTACCGTTCTTCAATGTTTAAAGTGTCAATACTAATAAATGAATAAGAATTTAAAGCAGTGCTCTGACAGACAACCAGGTGGAATAAATTTGTCATCTTGATGCCTCAGAACTGTCTGTGGCTAATATAAACCTTTCATGTTGAATATAAGATTCATCATAGAGTAAATGAAGGTATTTTGGTGTTTTTACCTTGGAGCAGTGGTTGAATTTAGGTGTTAAAATTTAGCTTTTTGTGTCAAAACTACATATACATAATTTGCATTTTGCTGACATTTTATGAGCATGCTTGCATTTTCTCAAAAAAGAATTAATGGAGGTTAACATTTTGATGAATTACAATATTTTTACATTTGCCTTTCTATCTCCTTGCTGAAAGAAGTTTGGGAGAGGATATAACATTTCAACTGTTCATTTGTCAGTCATGATCAAAAGTTGCAGAAAGCGAGATATAGGGATTGCTTTTCCGGTGACAACAATGTCATTGGCATCAACAATTGTTAAGTTTTCTGCTCAAGTTAGTTTGATAGGAACTACTTGTGAGAGATCATTGATATTTGATATAAAGTTGCATTACTATCAGTACATATCAGTTTGATGACTATTTCAAAGCCCTACATGTAACTCCAAGGTCATAATCCAGCGACTTTGAATTAATTAGCAATTTTCAATGTTGAGTTTTCTGCTTAAGTTAGTTTGATAGGAACTACTTGTTAGAGATCATTGACATTTAATATAAAGTTGCATTACTATCAGTACATGTCAGTTTGATGACTATTTTGAGGTCTTGCCCCCTAGGTATTGCACAGTGACTGAATTAATTAGCAATTTTCAATATTAAGTTTTCTGCTTAAGTTAGTTTGATAAGAACTACATGTGATAGATCAATGATATTTTCTATAAAGTTGCATTACTATCAGTTCATATCAGTTTGACTACTATTTTGAGGCCCTGTCCTCTAGGTCATGGTCCTGTAAATTTGAATTGATTAGCAATTTTCAATGTTAAGTTTTCTGCTTAAGTTAGTTTGATAGAAACTACTTACAATAGACAATGATATTTTCTATAAAGTCACATTACGGTACTGTACGTCTCAGTTTGTTGACCATTTCGAGACCCTGCCCACTAGTTCATGGTCTAGCGACTTTAAATTTTTAGCAATGTTGCTGCCCATCAGATTGTCGTTTTCTGAATTTTATGCCAACGGGCGAGACATATCTCTGTGTCAACAGTTTATTATGTTTAGTTCCAGATCTATAAATCACACATGAAAGATCTTTTGTCAGTTGATGCATCATCTGTAGTAGCAAATGTTCACACTAAAATGATATTGAAGGTGACCATGACCTAAATTTTACGCATAAATGACTTTATCAAGTTTTGCATTAAGGTTCAGATCTAAGCAACTACAAATTATAAAGGGATTTTCTTTTCTAATCATGTTTACTTTTGAATGTAAATGCTACAATTAGGTGACCTTGACCTTCATTTTAAGATGTTAATAGCTTTGTTTTAGTTTTGTGTTTAGGTTCAGATCTAAGCAACTACAAATTGTAAAAGAATGATCATTTGTCAGTTGATGCATCATATTTATTGATGAAATCTACATTCAAATGACGACCACAACCTTCATTAATAATTTTGATAAACAAAATATAGGACAAGGGATTTGCTGTGCTTTACAACTGTTCTATATCTTTATTTAGTGTATTTTGTTTTTGGTGTTTAATTTTGGTACCTCAGTGTATACACTATATAAATCAAATATGACCAGGTCATTTAATGCCTGTACAACATATCTCTTGTTCCAACATCATGGAAACAAATATTCCTTGGAATATTTTCAAATTAAGATCATGTAAGAGGGTACGATGTATATATTTTATGAATGAATAAAAATTAAGGTGCATCATTGAGATACCAATCCAACAACACTAAAAAGAAAAGACAATTGCCAAGTGTCTATATTATGTTAAATCAAGCTCTACCAGACACTTTCAACAAGTATTTTAAAAATGATCAGTACTTTTTATAGGACCGCAAAAATTAAAAATTTTTTGGTCGTATATTGGTATGACGTTGGCGTCGTCGTCGTCGTCGTCTGGCGTCGTCCGGCGTCGTCCGAAGACACATTGGTTTTTGCACTCTAACTTTAGTTTAAGTGAATGGATCTCCATGAAATTTTACCATAAGGTTCAATACCACGAAAGGAAGGTTGGGATTGATTTTGGGGGTTATGGTACCAACAGTTAAGGAATTAGGGGCCAAAAAGGGGCCAAACATAAGCATTTTTGTAACTTTCAGACAATAACTTGTGTGTAAGTGTATGGATCTCTCTGGCATTGTACCACAAGGTTCCATATCACAAAGGGAAGGCTGTAATTGATTTTGGGGGTAATTGCCTCAAAATTTTAGGAATTAGGGGCCAAAAAAGGGGCAAAAAACAAGCATTTTTCTAGTTTCATGACAATAGCTTGTGTGTAAGTGTTTGGATATTTCTGAAATTGTACTACAAGGTTTCATATCACAAAGGGAAAGCTGGAATTGAGTTCGGGGGTAATTGCCTGAAACGTTTAGGAATTGGGGGCCAAAAAGGGGCCAAAAATAAGCATTTTTCTAGTTTCAAGACAATAACTTGTGTTCAAGTGTATGGATCTCTCTGAAATTGTACTGCAAGGTACCATACCACAAAGGGAAGGCTGGGATTGAGTTTGGGGTTGATGAATCATAAGGGGGTTCAAAAAATTTGGGGGGGGGGGGGGGGGGGTTTTTCTTTTTTTTTCTTTTTTTCCTTTTTTTTTTCTTTTAAAATTTTCCATTTTAAGTTGGTTATTTATGATTTATATTTAAAAACAAATAATAATGATATGGTAGGAGATACACACCAAACAGGATGTGTAAATTTTTATATAATAAGTATTGTGCAATAGCAAGAAATTTTCAATTGCACATGCAGTATTGCACAATAGCAAGAAATCTTCAATTGCACAGTATTGCGCAATAGCAAGAAATCTTCAATTGCACAGTATTGCGCAATAGCAAGAAATATCCAATAGCACAATATTGCGCAATAGCAAGAAATTGTCAATTGTACAGTATTGCGCAATAGCAAGAAATATTCAATTGCACAGTATTGTGCTAAAGAAGATACTTCTTATAAATTGCTTATTTCTTGATCAATTTCAATGGGGTTTTATTCTTGAATTCTTGGGGTTCTTTAATATGCTGAATATAACCGTGTATTAAGTTTTTGGATTTTGGGCCCCATTTTTAAATTGGTCCACATTGAGGTCCAAAGGGTCCAAAATTTAACTTTGTTTGATTTCATCAAAAATTGAATTATTGGGGTTCTTTGATATGCCGAATCTAACCGTGTATTTAGATTCTTAATTTTTGGTTCCGTTTTCAAATTGGTCTACATTAAGGTCCAACGGGTCCAAAATTAAACTTAGTTTGATATTAACAAAAATTGAATTTTTAGTGTTCTTTGATATGCTGAATCTAAACATGTATTTAGATTTTTGATTATGGGCCCAGTTTTCAAGTTGGTCCAAATCGGGGTCCAAAATTAAACTTTGTTTGATTTCAACAAAAATTGAATATATGGGGTTCTTTGATATGCTGAATCTAACCATGTATTTAGATTTTTGGACCCCGTTATCAACTTTGTCCACATTGAGGTCAAAAGGGTCCAAAATTTAACTTTGTTTGATTTCATCAAAAATTGAATTATTGGGGTTCTTTGATATGCCGAATCTAACCGTGTATTTAGATTCTTAATTTTTGGTTCCGTTTTCAAATTGGTCTACATTAAGGTCCAAAGGGTCCAAAATTAAACTTAGTTTGATTTTAACAAAAATTGAATTTTTAGTGTTCTTTGATATGCTGAATCTAAACATGTATTTAGATTTTTGATTATGGGCCCAGTTTTCAAGTTGGTCCAAATCAGGGTCCAAAATTAAAATTTGTTTGATTTCAACAAAAATTGAATATATGAGGGTTCTTTGATATGCTGAATCTAACCATGTATTTAGATTTTTGGGCCCCGTTATCAACTTTGTCCACATTGAGGTCAAAAGGGTCCAAAATTAAACTTTGTTTGATTTCATCAAAAATTGATTTCTTGGGGTTCTTTGATATGCTGAATCTAACCATGTATTTAGATTTTGGATATTGGACCATAATAGGTGAATGTCCAATTGAAAATTTTTAAGTTCTTAGACCACATTCATTCTGTGTCAGAAACCTATGCTGTGTCAAATATTTAATCACAATCCAAATTCAGAGCTGTATCAAGCTTGAATGTTGTGTCCATACTTGCCCCAACTGTTCAGGGTTCGACCTCTGCGGTCGTATCAAGCTGCGCCCTGCGGAGCATTTTATTTTTTATCAGCTCAGTAAATATAAAATAGAAGATGTGGTATGATTGCCAATGAGACAACTAGTACTCTTCACAAGAGACCAAATGACACAGAAATTCAGTAAGTCAGTGCTTTGATACTGTACATGTCAGAGATGTTAAAAAATACTTCAAGCAAAGTTTACTATTGATGAATTTGTTTATTCTGTTTAGGTTTATTTTAATTGTCAGGTTGAGATTGAGAGAACCAACAGACTAGTAGCAATGTGTGATGGAACAGTGATGATAACTACAGAGACACTCAATCCCTATCAAGACAGTCCACTTTATGCACCTGTTTCTCAAGGAACGGAAATCAAGAGAAAATTTTTCCATGTTTATCCTATTCCTTTACATGGAAAGTTTAGATTAGTGAATGAAGTTTAGAATTTTAATACACTGTTTATTGACATTTGTTTGGGTTTTTTTTTTAAATGTCCAACACAAATTGTACTCAGCAACTTGTTATGAATCACTGTTTTTGGCCAAACTATGTATAGATCTGTCTAAATTCCTTTTAATTGATAAATTTAATAACGCTTACCTTTTCCTTGATGATGTTTTTGCTTTAAATAATCAAGAATTCATTAATTGTACTGTGGAAATTTACCCAAAGGTTAATAAATTTAAAATCAACAGCAATAATTGTCGTTTTTGAGCTATTCTCATCACTTGGCATCTATCTTTATCAGCCTTCGTCATCCCTCGACTTTTACTAATAAATCTTCTTCTGTGAAACTGCAGGGCAAAATTTAACCAAACTTGTCCACAATCATCATTGGGGTACTGTAATTCCCGAGTGCCGCCCTGTGCCCTTTTTCTGATACCCTGTGTCCTTTTTAAGACGCCCTGCCCTTTTTCGCAAGTCCATGCCTTTGTTGCCGTAATATTTTGATGAAAATACAATTGTTCTACCTGTCTTCATATTTATGACAAGTTTATGACCCTCAGCTAATTAACATTTACAGCTCAGGTGTAATAAGTTGTGATTACAGATAATCCGCTTATCGACATCAGATGGGTCATTAATCCGTTAATTAAACTTCATAATTGACCATTTGTAATAATTTTTCTCATTAAATTTGGTCAGTCAGCATTTCAATTTCAATATTTCTCAAAAGATGACAATTTGCGTTTGATGTATCGGTAGATCATCTGTTGTTTTATATGTCAAAGATTTTTTTTTAAATTGATCTTTTAAACTAGTTTTAATCCAGAAGAAAGTAAAAACAATGCTTGACTGTACCTTTCATTGAATATCTATATCCAAATTAAATTAATTAAAGCTGTAATCCATGATCACAAATTGACTGCTTTGTTTACATTTGTTAAAAGCCATGTGCTTTTTTGGCGGGAAAATTCGGAAAACCCCTTTAACAAGAAACAGTTACATTTCATTGTTATTTATAGACAGTAAGATTTTCATTTTGATTAACTGCTAAGATTATTTCATTAAAAATGAATACTTTCTAGTGGTGAAACTGATAATACTTTAATACTCTACATCTAGGGGTGTGTAAAATGGAAAAGGGGGGATTTTTTATATATAATATTACAAATATAAGTTTAACAGTCTGAAAAGACATGGTTAAATGGATTTTAATTCTGAAAAACTCAATGTGGTTTATTATAATTTATTTATTATTTCTATCATAATCAGAAACACTGGGCTACATGTATTAGGCATTTCAAACATATATTATTGCCTTTATAAGAACATTCAAGACTATTAATAAGTATGTACCTGTAGTAAAAATACCCTGGTAGGGCCTTGTTGGCCCCTGGAGAAAATGTAAGGTATAATTCGGAACAGTTCCTGACTGTATTGCAGATCTAGTGTAGTATTTGAACTGACATGCACAATTCATTTCACTAATGAAATAAAAATAATTCTACAAAATGCCGCTGTGCTCTGCATTGCAACTTAACCTTAGACCTACCATGCATCAAAAATGTTCTAGGGAAGACTGAGCTAGTAATATACGTCCTTGCATGGTCCCTTTAATACTGTTACCCAAAATAAGGTTGATTTTCATTTAGCGTAAAAGTGACTAAACCCCCTCAAAACTCCTAGCTGAAACCCCTGCAGTTAGGTAACGACCATTTGATATTCTGGGGGGGGGGGGGGGGGGGGCCAGGAGGATTTTGAAAATAAATAACTCAGCCTTGATAACAAAAATGAATGGTTTGTTCTGTGGTAGTTTCAAAATAAATAACCTGACCTACAATGTATTGAAAATAAATAACTCTGCAGGTCTTTTAAGCCATTTTATAAATGCTATTCAAAAGTATGAAATGGCACCAGATTCCTACAAAATTCGTCTTTTTTCATATTTTTTTCAGGAAAAACTTTCCAAATCTTTTATAATGCAATGTATAAATATTAATGTACTTGAAATGTCTGAAACTGGGTTTCATTTAACTAGAGGTATATTAACTCAGGAACATTTACCTCACTTTCATAAGTCATAGGGCTGTAACTAAATGGAGGCAAATGCCTGAGGTAGGAAATTTCAAAAACAAAAGCTTGTCTTCATATCAAATTGTTTTTACTTCGAATGCCTTCCAAGAAGCAAGTTCTGTTCACCCTCTGGCATACAGCCCTAGTTTTTCGTGATCCATGTTTCACATTTAATTTTAGTTTTCAGTGTTATTTGTCATAATGTTTGCCGTTTTGTGTTTTATCAGTTCCAGGGTTTGTCTTTTGTTCATTGATTGCCCTTCTTTATTCTCTTAGTGTTGCATTCCATTTGTAATTTAGTAATTTTTTTAAACTTGAGTTTAACTTTATTTAAGGACTTTTTATCTAATTTTACAAACTACATGAATTTTCAAATTGTATCTCAGTTAGGAACTACATCAAGTTGTAATTGAAATGTGTTATAAAAACTTACCTGACATAGTTATATCAATGATAATCACACCCTCTTAACTTAATTTGAGAACAAAAACACATAATTGACAGGTATATAAAAAAGATTTTCTGCAAGCCAAAACACTAAAAAAAAAACAAAAATAAGCAGCCACATACTTAAGTTTCTGAATTACACTTGTTGCTTTATCCTACATATTGGTCTTTTGATGTTGTCCCTAAAAACTAAAAGTCTTACACTGAATCTATATATTTTGCTTTGAGACCGACATATTGTCTTCTTGTGGCCTTCAGCGGCTCCCAAACCCTTCGCCAAATTTTTTTGCCTCGCTCCGCTCGGCAAATATGTTTGACAATACTTTAAAAAGAGGCTTAGTTACAGCCCCTTTTAATACCTTGTACGTATGCAATACCTGCAGTTTGGAATTCAGAAGATTCACTTCCACAGGATGATGATTAATTCTGATTAAATGGTACATAATGATTTGACTATACACTTATTATCTATTTAGGAATAAAAAAAAATTTTAAAATGGTGTGTTTTCAAATATTATAAATATAATTGTGAAAATAAATAATCAGTCCCTTGTTTTAATGAAAATGAAAAACCATGCTTCATCAGTGCAGAAAATAGATAATCTCTTCTTCTAGTTCACAAAAATAAATAACTGATCCAAAACAAATCCTCCTGGCCCCCACCAGAATATCAAATGGTCGTCCCCTTAACATAAGACAATGTTTGACATGCCCTTTTTGAAATATCAATCATCGTGCTAAAGTGCCCTTATCATGATTGGTTCCCTGCCCTTTTAAAATCCTAGCTGGAACACTGATATAGTTTTAAAAATTTGTTCAATGACACCGCCTGCCAACCAACATGGCTGACATGGCTAAAAATAAAACATAGGGATAAAATGCAAGCTTTGTCTATTATTTTGGAAAACCGCTATAGATAAACTCTGACAGGGGCAGAAATGTTCAGAATAGTGAGATCTACCTAATGTCCAATTACTTCAAAACTGTCAGAGGTCTTCTTATAGGATTTATTGCCCTTAATTGACAAATTTTACCAATTTTTTTTCATTTTTGCCTTTTATCTTGAAAACAATAATAGAGAAAAACTTTACATAGCAAAAATGATCATCAAGAAGATTGATAAAAAGGTTGAAATAGTTGGTCAACTTCTTATTGAAGTTATTGCCCTTTAATGAAGATTTTTACCAATTTTTTTCAACTTACAGAATGTCCCAAAAAAAACTTTTTAGATTAAAAAGATCTTAGTTTCATGCCTATCTGTTGGTCTCATGTCCTACAACGATAAATGTTGAACTTTTTATAAAAGAATGTATATTTGGTACTTCAGTTTCTAAAGATAAAATGTAAAAATTGAAACATGTAACAGGGAACATTATTTGGTAAAGATATTGATTGCAATTTAAAAGAAATTGTTGACCCACTCTCATTGAATCATATTTAGATCATTTTATCTAATGAAAAAGTGCCTTTCCTTCTGAAGACCTGTAGAAAATGCAATAGTGCTATATTAATGTTCTTTTTTGTCCACACCATACGGAAATATAATCTAAAGTTATTCAAAACTACTCTTCCAATCTTTCCATGAGTGATTTCCATCACTTTGATTAATGTTGTATTTGAACCATGAATTTTAGAGACAGATTGATTGACCGTGAATGTACATTGTGTGCATAACAATAGTTTGGTTTTAATTTAAATTTATTGATAAAAAATAAATATTTGTACCATTATAAATTTACGGGCTCTGTAAACAACATCACCGTAAAAATAGGATGTGCTATCCGGTTTGTAATAAGTTTTCTACAGCTACAGCCAAACTTCCAAACCAAATCTTTTTATCTATGAAAGAATTTAGTAAAGGTTTTATTTATTTGTGGTAATGAAATCCTTGACTTAATAATTTACCAGTAATACACCATGAGCATCGTCCAAAAGGGAAAACATACATTAGGGAATGAAAAATTCTCACTTTTGTCGTAAATTTTTGTGCAGAGTTTCCCATGTTAAATAAAGATATCTAATTTAGGAAAAGACCAGATATTGCTGTTTATATTTGATTTATTTCAAGTAATTAAGTTCCTTTGGGTAAATGTTGGCAGCATATTTAGTAAATTCTTGGTTATTTAACAAAAAAATATCATAAAGATGACAGTCAATTGATCAATTGATTGGAATTCAGACAGGTCTTTACTGAGTTTGGCCATAAACTGTGATTCATTGGTGTCCATAGAAATACCTACAATCTACCACTGAAGACAAATCAATTATATTGCATGCACTTCTATTAGCATACCTCCTTTCCACCAAGATTATTTGGGCATTTACACTCAGTCATGGTTTTGAAAGTTTGGCATGGTTTACATGCTTAAATAATTGTTTAATATTTCAATTTCAGCATTTGCATTATACTATCAAAACTACATACAGGCAAGACATATCTTTGTGTTAACAATTTATTTTTTGTTTTCTTAAGAGGCAGTATTCAACCCACAGCTATGGCTACCTT